GGTCCCACAGGATGCAGGACGTGGATTTTTATTTCGTTCACTGCAATTGTCGCGGTTCTCTACATTTGTGCGGCACTCGGATGCACACACACATTCTTGCAAACGCATAGAAAACCCAGCTCATGCTCATGCCTGGAATCACATGACAGATCCGTCCAAACTATAAAGCAAATGGGGTAACACATTCACAAACAAGAAAACGCTTTTTATATCTGGTCCCAGAAATTAAGTTGTGGTATTTAATTAAAGGCACAATACCACACATTTTTGACAATATTTTGGCCTTTATTTTATATATTCAGGGCATATGCACTCACTTTAGCTTCCTATTGATGCAATAAAACACTTATTATCCCTTACAACTTGCCTGAAATCGATAACTGAAACTTTGTGGCAAATGGCTTCCAAACAGATAACACTTTGCCATGAAAGAGTTGTATTGACTTTTTCAATTTTTTGGAAACCTTTTGTGATTTATACATATGGCCACATCCTTTAGCTCCCTAAGTTAGGATTTTGTATGTAGGGATTTGAAAGTCTGTCATTCAAAAGCTTTTGGCTCCATGTTTTAGGTAAAAAAAAAGGCCATAATCAGACAGGTTTGAAAAAAAAATAATGAAAAGGATTGCCTCTTTAGGACTTCTTCATTTTCAGTATGTTGGTTTCCCTTACCGCTTGGAAGTATCATTTGGAGTGCCGTTTGAAGTCTCATTTTTAGTCCCCTTGTAAAGCACCATTAAGGTCTCAATGGAAGCGCCCTGCTCTCAGCATGGGGTCTCATTTAAAGTGCCCTAGTTCAAAGTGGGGTCTCATTTGAAGCGCCCTAGTTCAAAGTGGGGTCTCATTTGAAGCACCCTAGTTCAAAGTGGGGTCTCATTTGAAGCACCCTAGTTCAAAGTGGGGTCTCATTTGAAGTGCCCTAGTTCAAAGTGGGGTCTCATTTGAAGTGCCCTAGTTCAAAGTGGGGTCTCATTTGAAGCACCCTAGTTCAAAGTGGGGTCTCAATGGAAGCGCCCTAGTTCAAAGTGGGGTCTCATTTGAAGCACCCTAGTTCAAAGTGGGGTCTCATTTGAGGCACCCTAGTTCAAAGTGGGGTCTCATTTGAAGTGCCCTAGTTCAAAGTGGGGTCTCATTTGAAGCACCCTAGTTCAAAGTGGGGTCTCATTTGAAGCACCCTAGTTCAAAGTGGGGTCTCAATGGAAGCGCCCTAGTTCAAAGTGGGGTCTCATTTGAAGCGCCCTAGTTCAAAGTGGGATCTCATTTGAAGCACCCTAGTTCAAAGTGGGGTCTCATTTGAAGTGCCCTAGTTCAAAGTGGGGTCTCATTTGAAGCGCCCTAGTTCAAAGTGGGGTCTCATTTGAAGCACCCTAGTTCAAAGTGGGGTCTCAATGGAAGCGCCCTAGTTCAAAGTGGGGTCTCAATGCAAGCTCCCTAGTTCAAAGTGGGGTCTCAATGCAAGCGCCCTTTTCGCAATAGAAACTTGCATTGTTCCAAATATGTAAATTATGCTCCATAAGAAGCGCCCCTATGAAGTACCCATTGTGGTACTACTTGGAGCGCCATATAAGTTTAAGAAGCGCCCCTCTAAGTACCCAAGACAACTGTTGAGTCTATAGGGTACCATTTGGAGCGTCCCCCCACTTTTTCATTTTTTTAACGGAAGTTTTGGAAGCGCCCGTGGAAGCCCCCATGCTATTTGTTTAATTCTTGTGAGTACCATGTGAAGCGCCCCGCCTTATTATGCCATCAATCTGTAGTGCCCTTATGAGTTCCAGATTGGGTGCCCCACCCCAGTTGAAGCCTCAGTTTCAGTACCCTTTGAGGCGCCAACTACATGGTAGTGGGGCTCCTTAAGTGTGTAAGGGTTGGTTGTTTGGTTTTGTTGTTTAACGCCACACTCAGTAATATTCCAGTGGTCTGTAAATAATCGAGTCTGGACCAGACAATCCAGTGATCAACAGCATGAGCATCGATATACGCAACTGGGATACGATGACTTGTGTCAACCAAGTCAGCGAGCCTGACCACCCGATCCCATTAGTCACCTCTTATGACAAGCATGGGTTCAAACTGAAGTCCAATTCTAACCCCAACTATCTAAAATATGAACTGTGAGTGTACTTCAACATCAGATTTCAATATGGTAGATTTGTCTCCAGTATAAAGCCCTAAATATGTGTGGTTTACAAAATTAATATCTTCCTAGTTTGACATTTAGAGACTTGATATGCATGCAGTGGCTTCATTTGGGATTCTAATCTATTGATGGATATATCATGGATAATGCATTTTTCCTCTACACAAGCTGTGTCGGCCATTATAGCAAGAAACACCTGCTGTAGATGATGTGTCAATGATAACCAGCTATGATGGTTGCTGTAGCTGCTTACATGGTGATAAACCTCAATATGTCCTTCATCACTTCAGTATTCAGGACTCAGCATTACATTTAGGTTTTCAGTATTATATACTGTAAATCATGAAATTAATGCGTCACGAATTTAATGCGAGTGCGAGGGTCTAGTCTAAAATGCGTCACGAAATTAATGCGAGCTCAGGAATCTGTGTTGATGATAAAATGAATTGAGCTTGTTAAGCAATGAATGGAAATGAGCTGACGATGTTTTGATTATGCTGCCATGTTTGATCACGTGATACTACTTGTTTTTATGACAACATGTATAAACGTAATCCGACTTGAAAGACACAAGTCATGTACCAACGTACAACAAACAAGTGGCTGGAGAATGTCCGGTCTGGCTGATGTGCTTGAGTGACTTTAAACAATGACCAGGGATTGTAACCAGTGATAATTACATGTGGTTTGAGATACCTGTAATGAGGAAGTGACCTGTATCGGTGTAATGTGTAGTGTCAACAGATTTACGTTTCTGTCTTTTATTAAGTAGACATGGTCAGACTGAAGTGCGTCATTATAATAATGCGAGAAGACTACAGACGCATTTTTCGCATTAATGAAATGCTCGCATTAATTTCATGATTTACAGTATAGGTATTTATATATAGCACTATAGTCCATCCATTCTACATGCATGCTCAAAGCGATTTGTAAAATGTACAGTGAACAAGCTTCAGTCGTAGAGAGATTATCGATGCCATTTGACTGTGACAGTTGTTTATCCATAGAACTACCCCCTTGTTCAAATCTTCCTGTTAAACCATTGGGAAAAGTGACGTGATCATCATGTACCAGAGATAAATCAGTTTTAAGGATGGGCATTTTTAGGTTGATTAGGGACCGTTCATAATTTATGGCTAGGGGATGATGCTGATTTTTATGGAGAAGCATGTACAATGTGAATGAACCCCCCTAAAATTTATGTACAAAATAAGTGACACCCCCCGCATGTCATGTGCAAAAATCAATTACCCACCACCACAACCACCTTCCCATAATTTCTAAGCATAATTTTAAACATATTGTACAAAATTGCTGACCCCCCAGTACGTTTTTACAAAATTGATGACCACCCTAGCTCTCCAGACCAAAATGGGTGACCCCCCCTTAAAATCATCATCATCACCCCCACCACCACCACCACCCCCAAGCCATAAATTATGAATGGTCCCTTAGGTAACCTTTTCATCCTAGTCTGTTTAACAGAATGCCACTCATCAGCCTGTGGCAAGGGATATAGTATTCTTTTTGGTTCAGCCTAAGGGGGTAGGGGGGCATCTCGGTGGATTATCCCCTTAAAGAAATTGAACTACCGAGACAGTCTTCCTGCAAGAGATTGTCCTATGGGTTGATTATATTCATTACTTAAAGTGACAGGTCTGTAAATATGGATAACACAGAGACATAAATAAATTAAGATTTTTCTTTATTGTGCTGATGGTGTCATTATTTTTATGTGACAACACCAGGGTATGAAACTCATAGAAATTTCAGCCAGACCACAGGGCTGGTTAGATGTAAAAGTTACCAGCCCTGAGCAAACCTTACCTGTCCGCAAATAATTTAGGTTTGACAAGCGAGGTAGTTTATCATCCAATTGGAATTCATCATTTATTTTTTTAAGAGTGAATTAAAAATGATTTATTATCCTGGAATATGATGAATATTTTCATATACATGTCTAAATTTAGTCTGATTCTCTGAACTCAACAGGCAACAGTAAGTCCACATTTCTAATTTTCTATTTACATGTACGTGGAAAACAGGTTCCCTATACCTAAATTTCAATATTTAGAAGAAATTAAATCCAGCCTCCATGTAATACTCCAGCGAAATGTCACCAAGATCATGGCTATTATTGGTTTGTATTACAAGGGGGTATGCACATCAAATGAAACACCGAAAACGACAAGATTTGTTATAAGTTAACGCCTTCTCACGCATTACCCTAGACGTGCATTTGTTTCACTATTCCAACTACTGCGTTTACCCCCTTGTAATACAAACCAGTAATAGCGATTTGAATCTATGATCGTTTGTTAAACAAATTTTATCCTTATTTGAATAAAATTTGAGATTTAAATGTTCAATTGGCAAGGTAAAATTATGAGGATTTGCAATCTTAATTTCACTTTATTTGATTTACTTTTTTGTTTAAAGTGAAATTCATCGGTACGTTTTCACTGCAAACAGACTATAATGGATAGCAACTTTTTGTTTAATATGTTCTTCTTGTCCATGATTTTGTAATTCGTTATTAACTTTCCAACTTATAGAATGCTGGTAAAACAATTCAAATGCGTACCTTTAAATCTTACATCCAGATGTTCCGTGATGTTCATCACCTTCGAACACACATGGCCGAAGATCATTACACATCTTCAGGAGGGCCTAGCTGTGTTTACACTTACCTGCAATCAAGTGGTATATGTGTGTCAATATTGACAGGTCCCACCTCACTATAAAACATGCACACCATTACAGTAGGCAGATGAACTTAATATACAAACCCTCACCTGTCAGTTCCTCATTATAACGCGAGCGACCTATTTCCTTCCTCAGTATAAAGTTGTGAGTTTGACGGGACAGCTGTTACCAATGCAATCGTTGACGCATCGTCGAAAGCGAGGGGCTCCTTCAACAGTAGACATGGAGGAGAGAAGTCTAATTGATGAAGGTTTGTCTGTTTCTGTTTGACATCACCTTATCACCTTGTCTATAATGTCCCAGAGTGCCACCTCTCAGAGACATATGTCCAGTCCGGCCATCCTACCAGGACAACACACTGCCATGTGTTGATATGTTATCTCCTTCCCACTCAGCGAGTTCTCCTATCACTGTCAACATTACCATATAACTGCATGTCTGAACGGAAAAGGTAATTCATCTCAGACACATATATACGCATTGCTTGTTTCTGTTGTCATGTTAGCAGATTCATAAAGTATTGTATAAAGTATTGTATAAAATATTGTATAAAGTATTGTATAAAGTATTGTATAAAATATTGTATAAAGTATTGTATAAAATATTGTATAAAGTATTGTATAAAATATTGTATAAAGTATTGTATAAAGTATTGTATAAAGTATTGTATAAAATATTGTATAAAGTATTGTATAAAGTATTGTATAAAATATTGTATAAAGTATTGTATAAAGTATTGTATAAAATATTGTATAAAGTATTGTATAAAGTATTGTATAAAATATTGTATAAAGTATTGTATAAAATATTGTATAAAGTATTGTATAAAATATTGTATAAAGTATTGTATAAAGTATTGTATAAAGTATTGTCTAAAGTATTGTATAAATATTTTATAAAGTATTGTATAAAATATTGTATAATGTATTGTATAAAGTATTGTATAAAATATTGTATAAAATATTGTATAAAGTATTGTATAAAGTATTGTATAAAGTATTGTATAAAATATTGTATAAAGTATTGTATAAAGTATTGTATAAAATATTGTATAAAGTATTGTATAAAGTATTGTATAAAATATTGTATAAAGTATTGTATAAAATATTGTATAAAGTATTGTATAAAATATTGTATAAAGTATTGTATAAAGTATTGTATAAAGTATTGTATAAAGTATTGTCTAAAGTATTGTATAAATATTTTATAAAGTATTGTATAAAATATTGTATAATGTATTGTATAAAGTATTGTATAAAATATTGTATAAAGTATTGTATAAATATTGTATAAATATTGTATAAAGTATTGTATAAAGTATTGTATAAAGTATTGTATAAAGTATTGTATAAAATATTGTATAAAGTATTGTATAAAGTATTGTATAAAATATTGTATAAAGTATTGTATAAAATATTGTATAAAGTATTGTATAAAATATTGTATAAAGTATTGTATAAAGTATTGTATAAAATATTGTATAAAGTATTGTCTAAAGTATTGTATAAATATTGTATAAAGTATTGTATAAAATATTGTATAATGTATTGTATAAAGTATTGTATAAAATATTGTATAAAGTATTGTATAAATATTGTATAAATATTGTATAAAGTATTGTATAAAGTATTGTATAAAATATTGTATAAAGTATTGTATAAAGTATTGTATAAAATATTGTATAAAGTATTGTCTAAAGTATTGTATAAATATTGTATAAAGTATTGTATAAAATATTGTATAAAGTATTGTGTAAAATATTGAATAAAGTATTGTATAAAATATTGTAGAAAGTATTGTAGAAAGTATTGTATAAAATATTGTTATAGATAAATGTGGCATATGTCAGTAATATTGTCCACTACACCAGCATGTTTTTATAACATTCCTTTTCCCCGATCTTCGTTCGGTATCCTTATACAGTGCATCCATGGGGGCGGTGGGGTAGCCTAGTGGTTAAAACGTTCGTTCATCAGGCCGAAGACCCATGTTCCATTCCCCACATGGGTACAATGTGTGAAGCCCATTTCTGGTGTCCCCTGTGATATTGTTGGAATATTGCTAAAAGTGGTGTAAAACCATACTCACTCACTCACTCACTGCACCCTGGTTATGATGCCACCCTGGACATAATGCCATGTTTTTGCCAGAATGGATTTCCTGCCTATATAATACCCTGGTTATAAAGTATAGCCAATGCTGTACCATCCTGTTAAGTGACTGTATGCTGTGTGAAGAAAGCATGGGAGCAAGTAACACCTGTTACTATTGCTAATTGTTGGAAACAGAGAATAATCAACAAAGTAATGACTTGTTTTCTTTGAAGCCTGAGGTCCTCTATCCATCCTACCTGGTTATAATGCCAACCTGGATATAATGTCATATTTTCTCCTGGACAAACGGTGACATTAAAACCAGGGTATACTGTATACAGTTATCTGTATGTATCTTTGAGCAGCTGGGCGGTGGGGTAGCCTAATGGTTAAAGCGTTCGCTCCTCACCCCGAAAACCCGGGTGCAATTCCTCATATAGGTACAATGTGTGAAGCCCATTTCTGGTGTCCCCAACGAGATATTGCTGGAATATTGCTAAAAGCAGCGTAAAACTAAACTAATTCACTCACTCTTTGAGCAGCTGAGCTGAGCTGGATATTGGCTGTGTATATGAATAAATACCTTATATCTGTAATGCCATGCATCTGTAGAGTAGAAATTAGTACTGCTCATTTTACAGAAAGTCTGGACTTCTTGATATTGAATTTGATCATTAAATATGATGACTGACTAAATTAATCTTGTAGATTCAACCCCACAGCTAATTGTGTTCTGTTCTATCAGTGACAAGTAGGTCTGCAACCATTCAGTTCGATTCATCGAAAATTGAATCTGACACCTTAGTTTCGATTTTTGATAACCGTTATCACTATTTCGATTCGATATTTGAATACCAATTTAAATTATTTCCACACAGGCAGATGGAAATTTGACTTCAACTCGAGCAGTTTCAAGTGCTGAAATAAGGCAAAATGTGATTGGTTAACGCCAGGATCATTATCCAATATGTATTTTTGTTAGTAGACATTGCCAAGTTGAAGATGGATTTCACACTAAAAAGCCGGCCCTGACAGTCATATTATATGAAATCTGATGTTTTTACTTGTATGACGAATCGAATCGAATCGAGGGCCCAATATCGAAAATCGAATCGAGGTCTGGGTGAATCTTTGCGGCCCTAGTGACAAGGTCATGTTGGTTTATAACCGGGGAGCCATTGCTATGTTGGATATGTCTCTGGCATGTGAACTATGATGAAGATAAAGAGTGTGGATGTCACTTACTGCTCTCATGTTTATTGATCCTGTAATCAAGTAGACTACTGTAGTATGTCATAGCCCTCCTAATCTGTCTCACAGTCCCTGAACCACATTATTTCCCCTACAGCCTAGCCCTCCTAGTCTGTCTCACAGTCCCTGATCCACATTATTTCCCCTACTGCCTAGCCCTCCCTGCATTGCTAAAATCCTTAATGAAGCAAGTCTAGGTCTGGTTTCCCTTGGTTTCCTTTTCAATTTCAATGGGTTTATTTGTTAGAATCAAAATTATATATATATTCAGAAACTAAGCGTTTGTCTATCCGGTCGCATCCGTAGTATGTTGGTAGTTGAATAATCACAGCTGTGTGATGTTGTCTAAAATCACATCTGTAGTATATTGTCAATAACTGGTTCAGGTGAAACTAATCATAGCGGTAGCGTGGGTTGTAGAAAAAATAAAATTATATAGGGCCAGACCAATTTTATTTCTTGTTTTACAGAGTTTTGTCCTCAGAAAACCTAAAGGCAGGAGGGAAAAAAAATAAAATAATAAAATCACCAGTCAAAGTTATATTCCTTCTAAATACTCAAAGTATTTTACTTTTGGGCAATCGAAAAAAGAAAATTCTTGTAAGTTTACATTATTGGCCAATAAAAACATGGGTTTTATTTTTTTGAGCGAGGAAAATGATTTATATATTTTTTCTTATTCTTGAAAAAATAAGACAGGCAGATCCGTAAAACAAGAAATAAAATTGGTCTGGCCTAGTGGTGTTCCGATTAACTGAAATAATTGAAGGTTGGTCGCAGTGACCAAACGACCAAGTAATCGATCACATTTTCTCATAATCAAACACAAATGATTTTGGAACTACTGTTTAAGTGTTTGAAATACTTGATAAAAACCTATCTTAGAAGTTGTCAGGGCCTGAAAAAGTGTTCAATTCTTAGAAAACTCACTTCACTTGCTGAAAAGTGATGACTGAATATTTCTTGAAGACAGTGAGAACTTTATGTTCTGAAGCTCATGATATAACAGTAACTTCATGATCTAATAGTCATCACTTTAAAGTAGCAAGTTGCTTCATGTTACATTGGATGTGAAATTTGCAAATGCTATTTGTGCTGTTTCTAAATAAAACAAAAAAAAAACACAACAGAGAGCCACAAGTTTTTTCTTTATACTTGTCTGCAATAACAACCACGATAGGAAAATCTGAAAAATGATGCTAATTCATTTTTTTCGATGATTGCTCGTTGTAATAAACCAATCATCAATTGTGAGATTTCAACCAATTCCCAACACTAAGCTGTACCATATTGTCCATAACACGTTCATAGTTGGCCAATGACGGCAGTAATGATGGTAATATATTGTGTATAATGGTTAATTATATTTGTTTGCCGATTTCAAATGGGGTACAATATAACGATTTCATAGTTAATTATCTATGGCAACATGATAGTGAATAAACCAGATAGCGTTGTCTATATAGCTAGGTCAAGGCCATAGTTAACTAATCACAGTTGTATCATTCTGATGTTTTAGTGACTGTATCCTCAAAGGGGTTTAAGGTATCGTAAAATTATTGTCCCACCGAGAGGGTACGTAAGTTCCAACACTTTCAAAGTAACATTTAAACTTGCCAGATTTTTTAACCATAGTATTTTTGTTATTTTTAATTTCGGCTAAATTTTCCTACAATCACCAGCAGCTGAAGGGATGGTTAAAATCCAACTAGGGTCCATGCAGGTAGCAAAGGCACTGCAAATCCACCATGGACCCTGGTATGGTGATCTACCTTCAGTTGTTGGCGATCTATAGCCTGTTTTTATATTGTATTGTCTTCGTAAATAAAATAGTTTTAGATTTACATGCTAGTTTTAAACACTATCTGTGGTACTCTAGTTATTTTACAGTCCTTCGATGACTGAT